TTATGTTATTTTAATGAAAACATGTTTTGTAACTAGAAATTCTATAGTAAAACATTAATGACCAAAGAAAATCTTGTTGAACAACTTAGAGCAGTTTTTTTTTTGTGGCTTCTGAAAGTCATGAAGTAAAACTCGCACTACAACATTAGCTAATTCTTCTTATCTAACATTTTCTCTTTATTCTTGCCCTGCAGGACCTGACAGGAGGGACAGCTGCAAACATCAGCTCTTGGCCTTCGTCACGCTGCTGGAGACCAACAAACCGTATTTGTCCAACTGTGTTCGGGTGCCAGCTCTGCAGGTCAGTGTCTGGGACGTCCCGACTTCTGACTGAACCGTGTTTTAACTTTTAAATTAGGATTGGCAAAGAACAAACTTGCTTCTAGTAAAGTATTCCCACACACTGAGGCAGTGGGAATTTTATGAACCACTGATCTTAGGGTATTTATTGGGATTTTATGTGATATTGGTGTATTATAAATCATCATAAAGAGGAAAAGAAACAAAACCTTTTTTGAAGTTTTTTTTATAAATAATAAAACCCTGATTAGTATTAAGCTCCTTTTTTTTCTGGTACCAAAGCAATAATTTGTTTTTCAATTTTTATTGGTAAATAATTTTAAAGTCCACCTAATAGGATTACATTTAAAACAGTCTAAGCTGTATTTAATCACTGTTGTGGGACCATCAGTCTGTTCAACATTCTGATCACCAGGCTCTGCTACTGGTGGCCAACTCTGTGGATACCAACGCTGACTGCACCCGGCTGGTGGTGGACGGCTGGCTGGAGCTGGAAGTGAAGGAGCCCGAGGAGGCCCTGAGGGTCCTGTCCACATCCCTGAGTCTCAGGTCCGAGTGGGAGCGTCTGCTGAAGGCCCAGCTGGGACAGAGCTCATTGAAGGACTCCTCAGGCCAAGGAGTGTCTCGCAGAGACATGGAGAAGCTGAGCGACGGCCTGGTCCGCTTCCTGCTCTACACTGAGGTAAAATGGATGCTTCAGTGAGACGTCCTTCTCTTTTTCTACCTTGATGCACTGCTTTGCAGCTGGATGCTAAAATGAAGAGAAAAATCTGGAAAACATTTCAAATCTAAGGTTGCAATACTCTACATTTAAAGCCTGGAAATATTTAAAATATCCTTCTCCTCTGGGACTTGTTACATATAGAGAAAAAACAATTGTTTGTCAAATATGAACCTTTCTGCAGAGTCTAAATTAGAACCAAAACACACAAATTCAATGAAGTTCTGCATTTGCTTTAAGAAATCGATCAAAACCTGACTGACCTTAGAGAAGTGTGAAAAATATGAAACATGATGATAATATTTTAAAATCCTGTAACTAGTTTATTTGATTTTAAAAACAAAGAATTAAATAACTAAATAATAACTATTAGGAATTGAGTTTTCGGTTTATTTTACCGTAATTAATTATATAAAAAAAACATCTTAAATATTTAAGTCCAAAATGTCCAATGAGAAGAAAATAATTGAAAGCTTTAATAGAAATAATAATGGAAAGAAAGAAACAGAAATAATAGAAAGCTTTTCTAGAATTGTCAGAATAAATGAGGCAAAAACAGATGTTTAGTTTTTTACTAAAATGAATTATAAAATATTAATCTTAAATATTAAAATCCAAAATGTCCAATTAAAAGTAAATAATTGAAATAATAATAATTGAAAGCATTTAGGCTCTAGTTTCTTACCTGCTGATATCCATAAGTTGGTTATAAGGTTATTTATTTATCCCACCATTATGGACAGAATGATGTCATTAATGGTTGGGTTTCAACCTGCCAACCACCTTTTAAAGTGTGGGGCGTTCCTCTGATACCAGAACCAGGCAGGTCGGCCTACAGCAGCAGAGGAAGAGCGGGATAAAGGGAAGGATGAAGGAACCAGACACCACTGCCTGATTCTGGACCTCCAGAGGCAGACATTTCTCCGTCTCTCTCTGGCATGTCAGATGTGTCATAATGGCGCAGTCATTCATGCATCATTCAGAGTCTTCTTTCATCTGCTGCCTTCAGTGGATCATCCGACTCCATTTCATCTCATATCTACACCTTAAAACTCACTATATCCTCCTTCCCCTACAACTCCATATTAAACATCTACTGTTAATATTTCTTCATATATCAAAACTAAATATCTCAGTAAAATGAAACAAAAACTTTACAATCAGGCTTTTCTAATAGCGAACCAAGTTTAATTGATGTTTCTCACTCTTTCTCAGGTCAATTACAGCCTTCAGCGCCTCACTGCTTTCCAGACCCAGAACCTGTACATCGGTCCTCAGAGCGAAGCTGATCCATCATTCTCTGTGGTTCCGGATCTGAGCCCCTTGTTTCCAGGAGCAGAAGCCAAGCCCGATCCCATTAAAGGAGGCTTAAGAGTGACAAGTTTCTTCACCTACAACTGTCTCGCTGTGAGTTTGTTAGAAATTAATTCAAGTATTTGTTAGGAGTTCTTGGGTTCAAAACGGCATTAGACTTTATTTGTTTACTTTTTTTGTATAAAAATTAGTCAAAAAGCTGCAAAAGTCAAGGACTAATGAAGGTCTGATGTATTATTTTAGAGTCACAAAGTGAAGCGATTCAACTTCCCTCATTAAACTATCTGACTAAAAGTCTGTTTCCTCCTGTGATCATCAGGATTCAAAGGATCTCTACAGCGAGTGTTTACGCACTTTCTGGAGCTGCCCGAACTGTGAGCTCTACATGCCTCTGACTCCTCTGGAGCGGATGCATCACGAAGCTTCCTGCAGGCCTGCTGGAGAACAGCAGGAGGCCGGAGGTCAGCAAATTCTCAGATTCATCTCTACTTATTTTCTTTAACTCTATGCATCTGCAGACACAAGAGACAGGGCACTAATTACGGGTCTGTTTCAGAATCGGAAGGTGGAAAGGCCGGCTCTTCCTCAGCTTCGGGTCTGACGAGGGTCTATCATTGTGACGTCTGTAACGAAGACCTGAAGCTCACCTCCACAGAGATCCTTAAACATAAAAGGCAGCATATGTTTTCTGCAAAGTGACTGGATGAGGACTGCTAGGAACCAACTTTTAACCCTAATATCAAAACAAACACTTTTTGAAGTGGTTTCTTTTCTTCTCATTAGGACTTTTTAACCTGTTTATTTTTCTTATGGTCACCGCTTGTGATTTCTCCATCAATCTGCAAAGATGTTAAAGATTAACTGTAAGAAAATGAACATAAATCTTTGTTTTTTACTAAAACTTGTCTACTCTCACTTTTTTTTCAGTCCCTTAAAGTATAGTCAAAAATTGATTGTTTTTACATAGCAAAAAATTTAAATCCAAATAAATAGTTTTTCTTAAATTAAGTGCATTTTTTCTTGAAAGGAGGTAAGTGAGACACTTTGCCAATTGAACGAGACAATTTACATTTAAAATAAGAAAAAACAATTGCATTGTATTATTTCAAGTGCATATTATCTAATTATCTTATTTTAAGAGTAAAAATACTCGTTCCATTGGTAAATCATCTTAACCTGCTCAAATTAAGTGTAAATACACTTAATTTAAGACATTTTTTACTTATTTCTAGATCGTTTTTATATCCAAGTGGAATGAAAAACAAAATGTAAGAAAAGAAAACTCAGATTTAAAATATAGAGTGAGGGTTTAATAATGATACAAACCCACGATATGTAACACCTCAAAGCAGCACATTGGCACAAAGTCAGAATTAAGACAGCACAGAAGATAAAAACCTGTCTCAAAAAATAAAGAATTAGAATAAATATCTCAATAAATAAATAAACAGGTCAAATATCTCAATAATTACTTTGAAACTAATAAATACATAGATGTGAAAATATGCTCATTGGCAGAAATCATTGACCCCCAAAAATAAAAAGGAAAAGTACTTAATACAGAGTTACTTAGAAATCAAAAGTTATTGATTACTCAAATCAAAAGGCACATTTATTAAGATGTTAGGATGGGACCTGCAGTTGTGATTGCATGACTGTCAGAGTTGAACTCCTCTGAACCAGAAGGAGCAAACTGTGTGCAATGGCTTTACCGGTTTAGTTTTATCTGCACCATCCGGTGAACTGGTTGTGTCTGGTTTGTGTGCACAGATTGGTGGGGACGATGGTGGTGTGCCACACGAGTCAAGGAACCGACTAAGACAGGATGTTTGTTTTACTTCGTTTCTCCAGAGGAGGCTGCATTCGCCAGCATCTCCTGAGCGTGTCCTGAGTGAACCCCGCTGTTTTTAAGTCACTTTGGAAAAAAAAGATTCTTGGCTAAATCTAAACTACAAATCATATGAAGCGTCTGAAAGGCTCATTCTGCCAGAAGTTATGTTGGTGTTTATTTTTTATCTCTTAATGGGGATCCAGGGTTTTAAAAACCCACAGATTCTTGCACACATTTGTGATTTTTAATCTTTGGTGCTCATTTGTTTTCATCGAGGACAAAAAACACCACTATCCAATACATAAAAACAGTGTTAAAAATGTATGAATATGATCATGTCAATAAAATCATAATATTTATTAAATATATAAATTAATAAATGGTTATTCAGATGTGTCAACAATTTAATTACACATTTCAAACCTAAATTAAAGTTTTAATTGATAATTATGTGATCATTTAATTAATTTACTAAATAAAACTAGATTTATAATTGTTTATACCTAATAAAAATACATGATACAAATTAATCTGCAGGACAATAATTGTAAAGATTGCTTTCCCTCTAGTCATTTAAATAATTTTAATATACAAAAAGGTATATATGGAAATGTCTCAATCCTTTATGAAGTACATCAATAATGAAATTGGGTAATCGTCAAATAAACTTTGTAGTTATTTAAAAAAAACAAATCAAATAGTTTGAAATCCATTTTATAAATGTCTTGTTTAAATGTGTAATTATTAATACACACTAATGACAAAGTAAAATGTGCAAATCATTATTTAAAACTCCAATCTGAGTTTAAAAAAAAAAAAATTCCACAAAATTGTGAATAATAAACTATGATAAATACAAAAATATTTTTGAAACATCTATAAGTTTTTGTTAAAATAAACAAATTAGAATAATTATTAACTCAAACTGCAATAGATAAAAAACGAGAAATCTTAATTTAAGTATTGATTTAATAATTTCATATTTTCTGTGCTTCGGTTTAGCAGCTTTTGCTGATTAAATAAATGATGTTACCTGATTGGTTGAATTGCAAATCATTTCAACTGCCGACCAATCAGCTTGCATTTTGCTGACATTTAAAACAGATAAGAGAAATTTGTATTTTGCTCCAACACAAGACTATTAAATAATTAAATACCAAATAGAAACTCAAGTAATTTTAGATGCATTTCTTTAAATATCTTTTTCTACAGTTTAATTTCTCTTTAATAAAAATCTTTGACAAGTTGTGTATTGAATCGTGGCTTTTTTTGCCCTCGATATATCAAATATTCATAACATTCCCATAAATTGTGTTCTTACCTTTTTCACAATATGTCACTATGGTTGTACCCTACGCCGCCATTCTTATGACAAGGTGGGAAATCTGTTGACTTTAGAGTATTTAGTTCAGGCTGAGGCATGAATCTAAATAAAAGAAGCTTAAATCAAGGGTAAGTTCTGAAACAAGTTTGGGAAAAATGTTCTCTATCTCCAGGTATCAGTTTTTTGTTTTGTTTTTTTCCACCAAGTTATTGTTGCAGGGGGGCTTTGAAAAACAACCTGTGGAGAAGATTGGGATTTTACAGCTCTTGGTGGACGTTAAGCCATTTGTGTTACATTTTAGCTCATAACGAAATAAATCAAAAGTATTTCCCTGATAAACTTTCTGGCCTTGTCAAATACAGCTGGATAAAATGCATTTTTATCATAATCGCCACATTTTTCTCATCAAGTAGAGAAGGAAATGTTGAGATCGCTATAAATTTGAATTTCTAACAAATACCTCCACAATACTGATTCTACAAACCAGTGTGATGTTTAAAGAAAGAATTTGCAGCAGCCAATTGAATGATGAGAAACATGCACACATTGAAAGCGCTGCTGTATAAGTGCATTCAACCTAACTGATGAAAAGCATTTATTTTTATTATAGAAATCCTCGTTTCAGAATAAAGTGCAACTGTTTACTAATTTGTATGCTTTTTGGTTCATATTTTTTTGTATACATTTTCGCTCCCCTTGATCATAAAAGATGTAGTTTTAGTTTTTAGAGACAGTAGTCACAGCCAGAATGTCAAGCATGTTAAATAAAATAAATTTGTGTCATATTTGATTCTTTTTATTTTTATATTCTGCAAACTAAAAACTGACATAAGATGGATTCTGTTCCTTAGAAGTTGCAGCAGCATTTTAAAATGTATGCTCCTTTCCTGTTCAGCTACTAATACTAAACACAGCACCACTTTAAACTTTTTGGTTTCTAATTCCCAACCTGGAGGACTGGTACATAAATATCCTGTCCTAGATGTACATTGCACTTTCTTTTTTGGTGGTTTCTCTGTTGATCTGGATCCTGTAGGGTCCCTGTGTGTCTGTTAGGTAGAATAAACTCAATCAGAGGCCTCAGTTTTAAGCAGCTCATCTGATTCATCAGGTATGTGAGTGGGATCAGGTGTTTTTTATGAATAATATCACAACTTTATGGAAAAATGGGGGGAAACGTGCAAATGAATGGTGTTTACTGCTTGATGCACAGAGTCGGCCCAAGGTATAAGAAAACTGAGCCCCTCCTCAGGGTCTAAACAACCATCAGATTAACATTTCACAGAATTAATATTTTTACCCAAAACGTACTGTTTTGTAATGAGAATTGCTTTTAATTCTAAAAAGTTGATTTGGGAATTACAAAACCTGTAATGTATTCAACATCTGCTAAATATAACTGCATTAAATCTATAGAAAAGAGTTTCGATTTTTATTCGAATTTCACTCAGAAATTTAAAGTCAAGTAAAGGTCAGTTAGAAAAAAAGTGATATACGTCAAGCAGCATTCCTGCTGACTTTAACGGCTATAGTTTTCTAATGATGAAAACCAAACATTCAGTTTCAAATACAATGGTCGATGAGGAAGTTTGCTAAACAATTGTCCAGTATTCAGTCACCAACCATCCAGTTAGGAAGGCAGACAACAAAATGTAAATTCTAAACAATCTGTATAAAGCTAACTGTCTGTAAGCATATTGGTTAGTTGAGTTAATAAAAAAATGAAAAGCTTTTTGGGTCACTTCTACAGACCTTTTCAAGACAACGGTCACATTCCTAATGTTAAACCACTCTTTAGCGAGAGGCATCATCATAAGTGTCTGGCCTGAGCAGTAAAAGGGCTTCTAAAAAGGTGCAAACTCCTCTTATGATGTGAAATATATTTATCCTTTCATAAGGAGATGAAGGTCCAGTAGTTTGCAGACTGAAAAGAGAGGCACAAAAGCCAAATTGGTTGTGGTCCAATGTGGAGCGTCCACAGTAAGGGCAGCTAGTACAGCCGTCTACTAGGAGATTTCAGAACATCTCTAGATGATTCACATCTAGTAAAATAGTGACTTCTTTTAAGAGAGCGTCAAAGTGCTTTAACGGCCATGTATTGCCATGTATTGATTGGCTGGTGGACTCACCTGACCTAAATATCTCAGAGAATCAGTAGAATATTGATAAAAGACACCTAAGAAAACAATGCAGAGCTGATGGACAATATTAAAGGCAATCTACATAAAAAAAATAATGCAACAGCTTTTGGCATTTACTTAATTATACTGTATTTGTTTACTTTACACAATTGTTTTATTCCTACCTTGCCAACATGAAACAATTGTGATAAAGTAACTAAATATAACTAAGTAAATGCCAAAGACGGTTGCATTATTTTTTTCAGGGTATATTTCCTTAACATCCCAGCAAATCTGTTTGCCTCCATTCAAATCTGCTTTGATGCACTTATTCATTAACTAAACGCTAAGGGCAGATACTGTCATAGTTTTTATTAGGCTTTTAAAATACTATTCAAATTTTGGGAAGAAAAAAACTATCTTCAGTATTTTCATCAGCTGTCATTTAAATAACAATATTAGGTATTTACATCTTGAGGTATATCACTCAAATATAACTGATCATAATCTCTAGAGGTTATTGGGTTTTGAGTGGAAATGCTGGAAAACATTACAGTGTTCTGATATACGTCAGGATGTCAGACAGAATCTATTTAACATATTTTCTTATATTCTCATATTCTATCTAGGGGCGGTGATTGCTTTTTTTAGGTCTAAGCTAGTTTGGATGGTTTTATTTTCCCTATAAATAAAGGTATGTTTTTATTTTATTTACCCAGTACTGTTCTGATTTTTTTTGCATCCCAGTAATAGCCATGATTGCTTGTAAGCACAGCCAGTTAAAAATGAGGCACCCCTTCTTGACTTGTACAAATCTGCATTGAAACTGTTAGTAGTCGCCAGTGGGAGATGGGCTTAACAGGAAGTGGGCCTCCTCACATTAAATACAGCCAAGTACAACATTGGGCCGACTCTGATGAAACCAAAGCTAGGTCACCAAGGACTATCATGGACTATTATGACTTGTACGTCTTTGTAGTTGTCATTGCAGCTTCCCTTAACATCAATTGTCTGTTTGCATTTGATAATTCGTGCACTTTAACTAGAAGACGATGCTTGTGGTCTCAGATGCATGGATGAAAACTGCACTTGTTTGTGCTTGCTCTTTCTGAATCTTTCGCCCTTTGTGTTTCTCCTTTTTTTAATCTCTAACCCAGGTTTGAGTAACATCTGAGGTAAAATTAGAGGTAAAGGGTGACGTCTGTTTAACATGGAACAAATAACTTCCCCAAGAGCTTGTGTCTGTGAATACGTGAGGGTGTGTATATGTGTGTGTGCCATTTGGGGATTCTGTTGATGTGTTTTACATTTAATAAAATATACCAATTAAAATTATAACAATCATATATATAAACATCTTTTGTTGCTGTTTTTTCAAAGATTTTCTTGCTAAATAAAAAAAAAACAAAAACAAAAAACAAACGGACATTTGAAACAGTGTACACACCATTGTTGCCTCTGCCAACCTTCCTTCTTTACTAACGTCATTGACGGCTTTATAGCCACGCCCCGGTAAATCCACTACGAAGGCTCCAGATGACTCCCAAAGAGCCTGGTCTGAGTGCAGAGCACCTGCAGCAGGCATGGACCATTGAGGAAGGCCCCCCGGTTGAAAGGAGAAAGAGCAGAAATCAGTGGAAGGCTGTGGGGCTTTGGAGGACTGCGTTGGATGTCTGGTTCCGCTGAGAGCACCTGTTCCACCCAACTGATACCCAGACCCCTCGGTCCAGGGAAGCCCTCCTACCCCTCAGCCTGGCCTCATCGGACCGCTTTGTGCTTTCCCCCACAGCAGCCACACCTCTCCCCACATCGCAGGCAGGCGCGCAGAGGCAGGTAGCAGCACATGCAGGGCACGAAGAGGGACAGGGCCAGGAGGGCCAACCAGCGGGCACAGCAGAGGGGGTGCGGGTGGCCCCCCATAGAGTCATCACACGAACAAGGCTCCCAAAACTCTCCCTCAGAGTCCGACATGCAGTGGTAGAGCAGGCTTTCTGCGCACCACACACAGGTCCACTGGCGGAGGCAGTGCAGGGCCGGGTCAGGGGCGTCCCTGCAGCGGCCCCGCCCATTCTCTGAGGCGCTGAAAACTGAGCGGCAGTACACGCAGCGTGATGAGCACGATGATGACGCCTGAGGGCACGGGCTGTCGTCATCGGGCGAGATGGCCCCCGGATCGCTGCTGCTGGCCCCTCCTCCTCTCTTACGAGTCCGCGACCGGGACGCGGCCAGCGAGGTGTGGATGCAGCAAGGGGAGGGGGATCCTTTACCCGTCTCCTGGGGTGAGCCCGCACCTGAGGACACTCCTGACACGGCATTGGGCATGGACATGCAGGTAGGCGACGACGATGACAGGCGCTGGGAGGCTTTGCTGTCAAGGCTCACAGTCACCTCGCAGCCAGCCGTACCCACTCCGGCCAACTCCTTCTCGAAGCGTACGACGCAGAGCTCCGACTTGTCCTGTAGACTCCCCCCACCACCGACGACAACTCCCCCTGTCAGCCCCCCAACCATAGTCCTTGTCGCACCCGCACGTCTATAATCCTCATAGCCCCGGGAACCCCACAGATCTTTGCAAGGATCCACACTGCGTAGATCCCCTTCTTCCAGCAGCGAAATGGTTGGTGACAGAGGGGACAGAGGGGAGGAGGCTGGGGGACCCGCAGGAGGAGTTGGTGGAGCTGGTGGAGGAGGTGGGGGCGCTGGGGGGTTTAACACAGTCGTCATTTGAGAGAGCTGGTGCTGTCCTGGCCTGGTGTGGATCTGTGGAGAGGGTGTAGTGTTACACAGTGTGTCAGGAACATTGTGTACCACAGCTCTGAATATAGAAGGTTTCCATCTGAGGAAATTTAAAATTCCCTAAAATGTCCGAGTGAAACTACAGGTTCTAATGTTGGTCCTCTGGAAACAATGTCCTACTGCTGTTTGATGCAAAGAGGCCGGATCAAACCTCATGTATTTGTCCTCTGCTGCCAAGGGCAGACTTTATTTTTATATTTTCTACTTGCTTTCTGACGCTTTTTTTTATTAATTATGGGGAACTTTTGAGTTTTCAAATTCTCAGTCCAGTTCTTTACCATTCTTGTGAATTTTCAAACAAAAAATTACTGAGAACGGCTAAAAGGTCAATTTAAATCTCACCTTTCAACCAATCTGGTATGAACTTGCTTCTACATTGCACAGAAGAGAGATAAGTATCAGTAAATAACTGTTTAAAACTGGATATTAAGTCTCTTTGTTACCAGGACGCAGTAGCAAAGACCCAATTAGTATGAAGCTGAGCCCCACATTTTTACAGTCTGCTTTGTGCATATCTACGGTGTGTGGTTTTGCTCTATCACAAAACAGAACATGCTCATATAGCAAACAAGCAGGTTGTTCCCGTGCAAAGAAAAGCTCTGTGTTTACACCTTTAAGCTTTCTCTCTCTTTCCTGAGAAGGGATCACTTGGGACAAATTATTTAAATGACACTTCTTAATGTATATGTATTAAATAACCATGAGACATGCCAACAGATTTTGACATAAACTGCAATCTTACTCAGACCAGACAAGTTGCTTAGGGCAACAGAAGGCACGCCAACCAACCGGGCTCGCTTCTCGTTGAAGTCGACCGGAATCACAGTTAAAGAACCATTTTTATACAACTCTAGTATGCCACAACATCACATCTTTACATCATAAACGGTTGTAAATGAGAAGACATCCATGGCACCAGAGAGATTAAAATATTACACTGTGTTATTAGATCAAGGACACTTCCATTCCCAAATCTTTGCCATGCGTATAATGAAGATGACTTTTTATCCTGACAGAACTGTCCTAATTAGATAAACCACTTTGGAAAACATTAGTTTTGACATGTAACAGGCAGGTTTTATTAGGGTTTAACAGACTCAAACACAGTGTTGTTTTCGTCAACAATGACAAAATCATTTCGTTGACGCTCCCTTTTTTTCATGACAGTAACGAAAACTGACGAGCTAAACATGGATCTTTGATGACGAAAACATGACGAGTCATGGGTGTGGTTCTTCACACCCATGACGAGACGAGACTAAATAAAAAAGTTAGAGGGTTGTCTGTCACATGTTTAAAACGCATAATTGTGCTCTAATCTGCTAAGCAGCATCTGCCGTGCTGCTGCGTCCTGTGGTAAGCAAACCTGGTGGCAACGTTGCACGTTCTGAATGACCACAAATGGATGAAGGCAGCAGCGGCGGGGGAGAAAATAAGTTGGAATGGTCTAGTACTGCGCTCTTAACTCTGACAAAATCTGCTCTCCCAGCTGTGCTTGTGCTGAAATGCTTCTTTGTGCGTGCATGGCTCTGACTGTGCTTTACGCTCCACTCTGATGGTTCGCTCTCAGCAGTATAGCTCTTCCTGCTCTCTCTACTTAATAAACTATATGTGGCTGATCATTATCTGCAAAGTGTAAAAAAAAAACCTTTAACTATCAATATTTTATTTCTTCCACCTCACAAGAGGTGATACTAAACATTCTTTCATTTCTACCAAAAGGAATCCTTAAATTATATCCAAAGAAAATATTTCATTGCATAATGTTTATTTTTGGATAAAGACTCAGATGAAAAGGTACATAAATCTTATTTCTCTCATAGTTGTTGTTTCTATCTATTCAAATATGATGTAAATATTTCCTTGTATTGTCATTAAAGCATTTTCTCTGTTTCCTTTGAATATTTCAACATTTTAGCATATTCATTAAATTTAGGTCTGGATTGCTATGGCATTATAAGGCAATTATGTATTATGTATTATGTTTTCTCTGCATTTTTTTTTTATATATCAGACCCCTTTGAATTTAAATCTATTTTGACCCCTGAGCAGCAATAAACCAAGGGGTACATTTTTTAGAAATAAAGCCGAAATTGCCAGAGTAGAAAGAAGAATGTTTTTGTTCTTTGCTTTTTGGGCGTATTGAAGATGTGTAATGCATAATTCATAGTAGATCAAGAAGTATTTGCTTTGGGATGGAAACAGTATATGTCTAAAACCAATCCTTTATTTTATATTTTGTTAGCTTGTCTGTCTGCTATATTAACCAACATGATGTGTTGAAATAGATCTGCTATTTTCACACTTTTGTGAGACACTTTGGTATAAAGTAGGGCATTAATTCATACAAAAGTTTATTTCAGTTCTATAAATGAAAGTTTTCTGCCCAACAGCAATGATGAACCGCACAGCAGTATTCTAGAACCAGCTATTGTAGTATCTAGGCAAGAGCTGTCAGTCTGGTAAAGAATCTGGTTGTTATTCGAAATTATAACGGATAACTGTTTTATGACGTAACATAAAACTGACTAAAACTAGACAGTTTTAAGTCGAATAAACTGACTAAAACTATCCCATTTTGTAATGACAAAGAAGCAACTAAGACAAATAATAGTTTTCATCCTGAAGACTAAAACTAAGACTAAATCTAAGATGGCTGTCAAAAATAGGACTGCTAACACATCATCTATAAAAATCCTAACGCCCTCCATCCAGAACGTGCACAGGTTCAGGGCCAGGACAGGGAAGCTATCATCTATGCACACATTCTGGAGACAAACTCTTTAGGCTTCTAGCTTCAGGTCTGTGGTGTTTGCAAAAACAGGCAACCTCAGTTTCTTTCACCGGCTGTCTCTCTGGTGAAAACTACTCAGATAAATACAATGTAGATTTACACCTTTTCAACCAAGTCTCTTTTTTTTTTAGAACACCAATGTATTAGGGATGCATAATATTATTGGCATGTGATCGGTATCAGCTCATATTAGCTTTCAAACCCAACATCTCCTAATAAATATAACTGTTTTTGTGATAAACAAGAGGTGATAAATCAGATGGTGATAAAGGGTCACATGCATCCAACTAATGCATGTTTTTTTAACGAGTCTGTGTCAGAGTCTGTGATGTACCTGAGCAGGCGTGTGAGTGGTGACGGCATGGCTGGATCCAAAGCTGAACTCTTCTGGCAGGACGAAGCAGGTGGATGAGGACTCGCTTGTCACTATGGTGATAGATTTGGGAAGCATCTCCTTTCTGCTGTTGGACGACGACTCACTTCCTGTATGGGACTGACAGAGGCTGGCCGTCAACCACACATACCGGAACCACGCAGACCCGTATGAGGGAAAATACTCAGTGTGCTCGAAAACTCACAGCTTGACCATCATCTTCAGTGTCAGCCTCTTCTGGCGTGGAGGACGACGGCGAGTCAGAACCTTTATGATAATAAAAAGGATATTCAGAAAAATGTCTTAAACCTAGCTCAAATTAAAAACGTTAAAATGTTGGCTGTGTATGTCTACCTCTTTCCAGCTTGTCTAAGACAGTCTGCAGCCCTTTTTCAAAGGAGATGGCATCAGCAGGACTCTGGAATGTAAGGCCAAATTTCTGATCCTCTACTCTCCAGTGATGGAAGATGGGATTCACCTTGTTGTATACCAGTCCTCTTTGGACAGCACACTCCAGTACTGGCTGCAAACAGAACAGCAAAAATAAGAGGCAAGAACGAGCTCAGACACTTTCTGAAATCATAACATGATGGCAGGTTTTAATGAGCACCACCCAACATGCATATATGTGGTTCCCATGCATATTGTACTCAGGCTACATGGGTTCTAAGTGGACAACAGACCCATTTGGTCTGACAAACTTCAGCTTTTTTCTACAAAACCAGCCTGACACTGTTTGCAGGTCTTAACTACATCTTAGATTTTAATTAATCAAAATTCAGAAACTGATCAAGCTCCCACATAGGTCAAAGTTATGACTCCGAGTTGTCCTTAATCATCCCAAAATAAATAATTAACATGGTGCCATTCATGGAATGTTAATACCTCATGCATGATGGACCCAAACAGGAAGGATATGTAAAAGTGACAGAATGTGGCTTACCGCCCAGGGTGGTACGGCCCTGGGGAGTCCAGATGTGCTTTAAAAAAGCTACGGAATTCAGACCATGAAAGTTTTTTCTGGTCTACTAGGGAATTGCCTTCAATCTATAGTGTCAGCACTATAGATTCATAAACAGACACTGAGGGAGGCTATTAGTGCTGAAATAGGTAAATTATTAACTATTTGTTAACAGCAAGCGCAAAGGCTTTTTCAAAGGCTTTTAAGGAATTTTAACTGCATTTTGTCATCAACATGCAACATTTAATTACAGTCTTTAGATGGTGTTGACGAGCAACGTGGCACCAAAGACAGCCGTAACACACGCACACACTCACTGCTCGGTCTCGCAGTCGCTCTCCACGAATGGTGTACTCTCTCCGGCTCCTGCCATCATGGCTCCTCCCTTTGCATATGACCACGTGACTGAGGCCGCCGCCTCCAAGCTGAACCCAACCGCCACTGGAGTCATCACGTGTCATCACCACAGCGCGAACACGCACACTAGCAGTGAAAGGGGAGGGAGTGAGCTGTTTAGGTATTGGTGAACACAAAAAATGTTTAACTAATGTTTTTAAGCTATTTTGAATTAACACACTATGATTCATTTGAGATGTCAAGTGACTTTGGAACCATTACCTTTTTAAATTTAGTCCCCGTACTCAACTACCAAAGCTGCCTTTTAATGTTATCTTTAATATGATTGAAGATAAATATTTACACATTTTTGTAAAACTCTTTTAATTAAGACTATATAGTCATCATTTTCAATAATCCAACAGCTATAAATAAGCTAGTATAAATTCCATATTCAGATTTATTCATTCAACCAAATCGACTTAACAAAGGAAGAAAGTTGTACAGCATTTTGGTCAAGGTATAAGAGTTAAATCTGGCACCAATTCTGGCATCATTTGTTGCACATGAAGGCCAGCATTTAAAATGTTACTCATTTAATCCACAGGGACCCGACATCGAGTGTCCAGAGAACATTTGCACCATAGGAGAGTTTAGCCATACTCTTAACAAGCAGTTGCCGAAGCATCCATTGCTTTGGGAAAAAGGGAAGTAAAGGTCATAAGATAAAGACGATGGACATAATAATCATAACATTCACCCCAGTGTCATTTGTTAGCATGCGTGAAAAGTACAAAGTATGTGGAGCTTGCTCTTTATTTAGTGATCAAGGGTTTACGCAGCACCTCACATATTTTAACATACGTATTTTACATGAACACAAAAACACGTTCTTGCCTTGCATGAGTTCTTCCTGTTTCCAATAGCAAAGTTCAAACTAATTCCAAATAAAAGAGGAAAACTTCATCTCACCACTTTTACTGGTGAAGATTCTCAGTCATACATGTCATAGTCATTCCAAAAAAAGGTTTAAACCACTGTTAAACACTGTTACATAATGACTTTAATTAGAGAGTGAAGTTGGGGAGTTTTCAGTCATGTAAGTTAGCTGCACTTTTAAATAACCTAATTTCAGATGGAAACCATAATTTAACTGATCTTCAACATTAACAGTACAAACAATTCTGCTCCCCTTTTACTGGATTTTACATGATACTGATCTGGCAGTCACTAATTCACCAACTTTGTCTTTATGGTCAAAGAAAGGATTTGCCCTAAACTGTTGAAAAAAATATCAAACAACTAAATTGTCTTTTTATTTCTCTTTTCCAACTCTGTATAGGGAGAGAAAACCATCAGCTTTTTACTCTCAGGTTGTTACTGTTAATACTTATTTTTATTGTGCACCAAACATTGATAAATATGGATCTTTATTTTGTTACAATTCAACTGAAAAAAGAAAGTCTGCCAGAAAAATGTATAAAAGTTACTCTAACTTGGTTATATAGCTGTGCACAGCTAATAGTTTTTATGTGCACAGTTTTTTATTCAATTTGATTAAAAGGAGCTGATAGTGCTGGTTTTGTTCTACATTTCATAATAGTCTGTTACATTATGTTCTACAAAACACACATTTGAAACAAAACATGCTGGATCAAATCTCTCAAAACATTGGCAGGGGAAGAATATTCTATGATATGGTGAAACCAAACTTGACATTTGGGCCAAACCTCTAAAGCAAGAAATAGCCTGATTAAAACCAAAATGCATATATCTGTAAAACTCAAAAGTTCTGCACAACTAGCATTGAACTAAGCTTAACCCACTCAAGACAGTGGAGATGACGGTTTGCGGACCATTTCCCATAATCACTCTCAATAACAGCCTCAACAATACTACATCTGCTGTGGATGACTTCCACTGCCCAGGGGACCAACCTTTCTGGAACACCTTAGCTGGTTCTCCCATATAGACACTGTTTGGAAGAAAGCCCAGCAGAGACTCTACTTCTTGCTCCAACATGAACAAAGTTCTACAGGAGCTGCTGATCATGTCCTTTGCTGCCCTTATCTGTCCGTCATTGCATAACAGAGGAAAGGCCCAAACTATAACCAACAATTAGGTTTGCAGAGAGGATCATCAGGGCTGGCCTTCCCTGCATCCAGATATTTTCCAGGGCCAAGAATATAGCAGCCATGAAGACAGTTTCTTCCACCAGGTTGTCATTCTGGTGAACATCTAACAGTCAGATTACCCAGATTTATACCAGTCTACAGCTATCTAACCTCCTCTTTTGTAGGAAAATGTATATAATAATACATAAAAGATAAATATTTATATTTTAAATGCCTTCACTGTGAGGAAAGTGGACCAAAGTACAAAGTAAAATTCATTGTGCTAAAAAAGTGCAAAAAAGTTGGTATATAAAAATTTATTCTGATTGTAGATGCTGATGGATTTGTTTTTGAATATTGAACGTTTCTTTGTCTTATATACGATAATAAATCCCCATTGAAAGTACATAACTGCTTATTTCTACACTCAGAAATAGTTAAAATATGGTTCAGTAAAGAAAAAAAGAACAATTATAAAGTAAGCAGCTGATTCTAGAATATCACCTTGAAGAAAGCATCAAATATTTTACAGTGTGTATTATTTTAATTTAGTCATATGAATCTAAACTGATATATGGATATGGAAAACCGTGTAGTTGTATCTGTTTTTGTTATAAAACTAGTTGGGATAAAGCTCTAGACCCCACCAGGTCTAGATTTTGCTAGTAAACAGCCAATGTGAGATTTATACCTACATTACAAATGAAATTAAATTATTTAAATACCTAATGCTGGTCTGCATGTGCTGCAAAGCCATCCCTTCAGGATGTTTAGCTTGATGCATTTAATGAAAGTGTTTATTTTTTCAATTCAGGCAAACTTACACAGTCAAATGTAACATTCTTCATACATTTTCTTGCAGATGTAATTTATGCATGATTTATATTTCACCTTATTTGGCGCTGTCCAAAGGAAATAATTCATGAAACAACTGAACAAAGAAACGCAGTCCGGATTTTTGTGTGAATGAAGATGCAACCTGTTAAATTTCACACAAAGAACTAGGAGCGTTGATCTGTATGGCGCTTAAAAAGGCCTCACATTGCGTTTTCTCCTTATCTAATACCCCGTTTTACGCAAAAAATATATATATCTGAATCGTACACGGGCTGAGAAATGTGGATGCAAAGGGACACAGAGTCCGCTGAGGAGGACAGAAATGGGAGGAGGGAAGAAGAATGAGTGTTTCCCACATAGACGTATCAATGAACGCACCCACTCGACATCAGAGGCCCAGGCATTCTTGCAAAACATAAAATAAATAAATAAAACGAGCTGCACACTCTCCATTCGCTTGAATAATTCAGAACCGCATTTTATATGAATGAAATCATGTCGGAAATTATTTTTTTCACCCTTGTTTCCGCATCTTTTTTTTTTATTTTTTATTGTTGCAATAATTTTCTCTCCATTCCGCCCCTGCTGCACGGACTCATTAACACACCCCGATTTGATGTTATATGTTTTTATGAATGGGACTGGGCTCCTCTTCGCACTGCGCCTTATACATATCACCAGAAACGATAGGAAATATGTTGATAAAGATGAGAGTCGGGCCTAAAGACAGTGTGGAAATGAAAGAAGGAGAAATGAAAAACGAGTGGGTGAGAGGATGGAGAGAGGAAACCAGAGAGATGGGGGGAGGGGGACGAATAGAAAAGGGAAGAATGAGAGGAGGGGTGAGAATAAGGGAGAGCGAGAGAGGGAGAGAGAGGGAAAAAAAATCACATTTCATTCATAAAGTTTGGCTTTAAAAATCATAATGAAACCCCGAGACACGTTGATAAAAATCACAGCGCCTCCATCCCTTCCTCATTCCACTTTAATGACGCGATGCTGGCCCTTAAACTCGCCATATAGCGTCTTTTTTCCCCCTCCTTCATATATTTTACACACTGGCTGTTTGGTGGTTGTTTTCAAGCAGTGCGAATTGGAACCTGAATCGTTGCATTACTTCAGGTTGGGTTTAAAATGCGCTCTTTATGCTGTGCGTCTTTTTTTTTTTCTTCCTCGCGCGTAATAACGAGCGGCGGCTCCCTCATGAATGTGGCCGCACATTTATCACACACTGGCATGGATATATCGGATATGGGGTGTATGCTGTTGATTCAAGACTACGTAATGGTGTTTTTATTCTCGACTGCCTCCTAAGCTGCACAGCGCCAACTGCGAGAACAGCCCAGGATGCAGAGCTGGGGATGCTGCTGGCGTCCTTCTGTCCTTTCCGCTGGTTATTTCTGTATAAATAAGGGACGTTGGAAATAAAAATAAGGACTTACTCGCCCTCCATGGCTCGGTGTTGCCCGCCGCTTGCAGCAGCCCACCCCAGGCTCTCCTCTCTCCCTCTTCTTTTTTATTCCTCCTTTCAGGAAACACTCAGACTCGCTTCACCTTCTCTCTCCATCTGCTCTCATTTTCCTAATCTTCCTCCGTCTCTCTCTCACACACTCTCTCCACCTTGATGTCGTTTCTGTCTATCAGGATAGGCTTGAGGTTGCAGCAGCCATTTTCCGCTGGCAGCATCCTCCCTCCCTCCCTCCTCTTCCTCCCTCCCTCTCTCCCTCTCTCTCTACCTGCCCTGTGCCAGCACATCCGCACTAATCATTGACAGCATCTCCGCTTAAGGTGGGCCGCTGACTTTCTCAAAGCACACTGGAAATGATCGCAGATGACAGACAGCTGAGGTGCCTTTATATGTGATGTGTCAGAAAAGCATCAACGACCTCTGGTTGAGCCTTCTAAAATGTCTGAAAAAGACATATATGCATTAAAAAATATAAAGATACGTATTTTCTTTTATTTTCTTTAAACAATATTTAAAAATAAGCTATAAGTATTGAATAGCCTATTAAAAAAAAAACAACCTCTTCCTGTCTTTATTAAGTGAATGAATGTTTCAGCACCGCGGACAGCGACAAGCTTTCCAATTGGCGCTCCTCACTGCGGCTGCGCAGTAAACTGCATTCTCTTCACTTTCTTCAATGTATTTTATTGGGATTTTTAGTGATAGACAGAGGGTAGTGCATAACTATCAAAGATAAAATGACAAATGGGATTGCTTTAATAAAAATAAGACATTCTAAATTTGGTGCGTGCAATCATTTGTTTGTAATAATTATAATAGATAAATAATTGAACTTTGTTGATCTCATGTTGGAGAAATTTACAGCTGCATTTAACCCATCCCCTTGGGGAGCAGTGGGCTGCTATCGTGGGGCGCAATCGGGGGGGTTAAGGGTCTTGCTCAGAGAGCCAGAGTAGCAGTCTGTGGGAGTGGGTTTTAAACTCACTACCTCAGGATTCCAAGCTCTATGCCCTTACGACTAGGCCGCCACTCACCATTGTATATTATATATGATTGGTAAAATCATCCTCTCCTTAACTAATGTAGAAAAACAGCAAAATTTTCTTACCAAGATTGGCTTTATGTCACTACTCACACTACCCTATTTGCTTCCACGTTGAATCAAAGTACAATTAACAATACCTCTTCTTAAATTTGTTTGTTAGACTCGTATTATTTATTTGTCCTTGGAAAAACAGCAGCAGCTCTTAAACACAGGGGACCGACTATAAAGCAGCAACAACTCTTTTGTTTATGATAGTCTCACTGTGTTATATTTCAAAACTGTGCGTAGCCTATATAATTTAAAAGTTTCAAGTAGTTTCCGGGACCAAATGTTACCTTTATGACATACTGAAGACACTGCTGGACCCTAACATAAATGTTATTCATTACCTTAATGTTAAATATTAATGTAAAAGAAGTGTTTCTTTAGACCTTCCAGGGTGGGTCTTAATAACTTTGTGTAAAATGAAGAGCCAACAAACACTTTTGAATAAAGGTAAAAAATTGCATAATTGAATTTGATTCCCACAACTGAACGAAACTAGAAGAATCGGTTTGTTTGTTTAGATCTTTCTTTTCCTTGAGTTAAAAACTGTATGCTCATTGTAAAAGTTTTAAGAATTTGAATAATTTTTCTTTTTTTAAACCTGAAAGTCATAAAATTGTGACTCTTTAGCAGTTACAGATTTCATGTAGTAAATAGAGGATTATCCTAAGGGTCAAAATAGCCTCTTTATATTAAGGTTTTAGACCCCTGGTCTATGGTAACATCAGGCCTCTTTCTTGTATCTTATATTAACTAGATTTAGAAAGAACAGTTTTGAAAAAAGAACATTTTAAATAAAATTTAAAAAAGTCCAGAAAATAATTCTCTGGTATCCAAATAGCACATCTTTATTTAGCTGAGAAAAATATATAAACTTTCAAAAAATATATTTTTGAAAATTGATAATTATTTTAATAATACATAATCCCCAATTCTGTATTTGAAGTGGGGGTTTACAAACCTGGAATATAGTTTAAATGTTTATGAAAGCAACACTAAGTGCACAGGGTTTAAATAGTAAAGCTTAATATTTGTGAAGTCCTTAAGAAAAATCCTTTAAGATGCAAAGCATGAGTTTGAGGGTTAAAAAAATAAAATAAAATTAGATGCAAATGTAAATTTAGATAAATGGTAATTGTGATCTGGTTAAATGCTCAGTCAATTAAACATGTACACTGATTAATTTAATTAAATGCAATTGTATGGGACCGAGCGAAGGTGTCCAGATGTGTACATTACCTGCATAACAAGCATCTATTCACTTTTTCAGACATTGAATCAAACAAGCTTAATACGGCATGTAGGCATCATGTTTGGAGTTTTGTAAACTTCTAAAATGTTTTTATTTTTAAGTATATAACTTACACCTGAAAAATAAAAAAATCCAGGCTCCAACATTCAATATTCATACTTTTTTTTATATCATATTCCCACAGATCAAATTGAAATTATTTGCTTTGTCATTAAAAGTTTTTAAAAACATTATGAATCATCTGATGATTTTTAATATTTTCTCCAAGATCATTTTTTTCAGTAAAAACTAAGCAACAAGTAGTGAGATGCTTTAATTAAAGGGTACCAAAACATTAATAGATAAATAAACACACTAAAAAGGATGATTTCCTGAACAGTTTATTGCAAACAAAAAAATTCTGTCATCATACAAACCTTACAGGGAAGAAGTGACATTCCTGCGTAGAAAACAAACTAAAATGGCAACTATTTCTGTGGGGAACTAAAGAAAAACAACATTTTTTTTTTTACAGTCATTCTGGACTGAATAAATCCAAAGAATGTTGATTTGTGCTGACTGACCCAGAATGACAGCTTTAACTAATAACCCTATATATGTGTAAGAGAAAATAGCATTTTCCTCCAGAGAATAACCCCAATAACAGTTATTAGTTTGAATGCAATTTGTTTTAGTTTGGTTCCAATTGACAAACCAGAGGGATCTGCAGATATATTTAAGGACTAATCGTGAGGGAACTCTGAAAAATGTGCATCCCTGGGTGGAACTGTCTGGGCTGACTGGATGTAGCCGGACACGTGGCGTGTTTATCCGAGCACGTCTCTGCATGGCTGAGTGTTCCTGGGGGCGGATTACACAATCATTTCCAGGTGTCGTGCGTATTCGATGACCTGCTCTGCCAGCTCTGTGGAGGGTATGGTCACTTCTTCTGTCCGCTGGTGCTGACTGGTGAAGGTATAGCAGCCATCTGAGTTTTGAGTCCAGCCTCTCTGATGTCAAATAGGACAACAACAAAAACAAATCCAGCTTGGTCATTATCTTTTTTTTTTTTTTTTTTTTATGTAAAAAAATCCAAAACATTACATTTTTCCCATTTCAAACCATATTCATAAATAGATTTAGCGCCAAGCATCAGAAACATGGATAAACGATTAGCTTTAAATGAATATTAAAAGTTTTACCTTTTTGGCGTACTCTGTCATCTTTGCAGGCGAGTTGAAGAAGAGCACTCTGGTAGCTTCGGTGAACAATATCTGCTCATATGCTTTTTCTATGCAACCAGCAATCTCATCACTGCAGCAGTAAAGAAGGAAGAAATGTGTTAGCATTCTCAGTTCTTCAGGATATCGATGAGAACTTCCCTGAAAACAAAAAGACCTTCAGATTCATTTGAGCAGAGTTTCCAACTCTGGCTGCTTCAAATGTATTCTTTAAGTAGCTTTTTGGAGGCTTCTATTGACCAATATTTTCCAAAGCAACTCTTATAACAGACAAAATGCAAACCCATTAAAATTTTAATGAGATCAAACATCCATCTATCCATCTACTGCTTTTCATGATTTGATCGACTCTCCCGTCTTCCCAGTAACACTCCGGCTTCTGGGAAATCCCGAAGCAGTCTTTTAAACCTCTTCAACCGACTTCTTCCATGTGGGATTTAAGCAACTCTATTCAGAGCTACAGGGGAACTAGAGGTCGGTCATTTGTTGTTCTGATGATGATCCAAATTTCATCATCATACATATGGAGTAGAACATCAATGAATCAATAAATCACCTTATTGGCTCCACTCCTTCACCGCCACATATTGGAACAAAGCATCATAGCAAACGTCCCTTTTTCCTGCCATGACTTATGAAAAAGTCACAAAGATAGTTGGCCCTCGCTTTAAACAAAGACTGACCCAAATATATTAAACAAAGCCCAAGAAACCAAACAAACACTGAAAATTGGGCTGTTGACCAGGATCAGGTCATTTTCTTACTGGAAACCTAAAACTTAAATCTTGCCCAATCAGTGAACTGAGGAAGAGTTTACAGTTAAAACAGTTTTCCTCCTTAGTAAGATAGAAGGTAAAGAAGCTAACTCTTTAAAATGTGCTCACCTCCTTCGTTTATCTATGTCTAAGCTTTGGAAATGTTTACAGCCTTATAAAGGTCTCAGAGCTAAAGAAAGGATCTCCTTTCCCTGGACAGTTTACATCAACATTTCTGGTTCAGTAACGCCTGCTATGCTAACACCTAATATACAGATACTCAAGATTGTTTCAAATGTCCCTTCTATAGTTACAGTTCTGTCTTAAGATATTGGTAAAACTGTTTTGCAGCCACTGCTCTTGGCATTGCTATTCTTCTCATTTGCTCAAAATATCTATCTGCAAGTTAGAGATTGAAAAAGGTTGCAGAAAAAATTGTAACATAAAATTCTGAGCAGTGCATGTCTTAACCAGACGGTTATGTTTAATACATGTGTAGAATACTGATCCCTACCGAATGGTGTCCAGCAGAATATCTATAAAAAAGGTGTAACTCTCAGCAGGGATGTTTCCTTTTGCAAGGAATACCTTGTTGTAGCTTCCCTCCATCAAGTACTGAAATGACAGGAGAAGAACAACAAATTACCTCTTTTGATTCATTCAGCTTATTATGGAAAACATATTATAAATTGCATATACCAACATATCAATTCACATATGACCAATAGACCCTGTCAGTGTGGAAGGTTATGTTTAAATCTCTCCAACATTTAATACATCTTTACTGAGGCAAGGTTTAAAATCAGGAAATGCACCAGCAGGCCTGCTGATGCAGTGATAATTATGGTGAAATAAAGAAATAAGTAGTGCTTTGCAGTGGAAGGTGAATAAGGTTAGAGAAACCTTGCCAAAGTTGATAAATCATTGATCTGAATAAATCTTTGGTAAAAAGTTAACCAATTCTTTGCATATCTTATTTAATTGCAACTGCACAAAGCATATTTTCTGCAGTTAGGTACCTCAGATTTCCCTGCCATCTTTAATTGATTCAAGAATCAGGGTGTGATTCAATAAAATATTTGCCATTCATTTCCTGTGAAGAAGAACTGCTCTTTCTACCCATAGACCTGACTATGGAATAAATGCAAAAAAAAAGAAGAGTTTGTTAATCTAACCCTTTTGCATCCATGAATAAATAAGCCCACCTGTTCTAGAGAGACAGGATGTTTTATGTACACGTTGGTCTGAATATCTCGCGCACTCAGCCTCTCGAGTTCTGTGTGAAACTCAGACAGACGGTTCTGAGAGAGGAGGAAGAGCAGGTTCAGTCCAAGCAACTGGTGCATGTAGGCAGCGTCAGGTAGTTCCTCTCTAAGACACATAAAATGAAAATTACAAACAGTTATATTACATTGAGCATCATTTCTCATAAAGGTGTACAACAAAGAGACATTACTTGTAATCAAAGTAGTAACATTTCAGCTGAGCCATGTATCTCTCAAATGATGGGATGTCTTTCTTCAGGATGCTCCACAGGGCTCCGATCTCTAGGACATCACCTGTAACAGGTTGGATTAGAGCGCAAATTTTATTATGTTGAACATGCAGGACCGATGTAGCTCACTTTTATTACGTCTTACTTACGAGCTAAAATAAGCTGCTGCTTGGTGAGTGCAGATCCACTAGTAGGTAAAAAATTCAACTCCAGTAGGGAAACCTGCAAGAAGTTTTTTGGTGGTTTTAGAAAATTATCAATGTAAATAAATAAAAAATTTTCCTAAAATCTTTGAAAAAAAATATATATGAATATATGAAAAATAAATATACTAGGGCTGAAAGAAGTAATCGGATTAAATTTGAATAATCAACATTGAAATAATCATTCAATTTAGTAATTAATTAGTTGTTAACTGGAGTGTAGAGACTGTAAAACAGGACTTAGCTGACAGAGTGACCCACTTAGAGCAGTAATTATATCAAAATTGTTAAAAAAAAAAAAACATGTAAACATTTTACATTTAAGATTAAAAAAAACTTTTTTGTCCATCAATATGCTCTATCCAGAACTCCTCAAGTTTCAAATTTTTAGTTTCACTTGTTTCATTTTGTTAAAAGTCTTCTTTAAGTAATCTCTGGCTATCTGATTATTATTTGAAAAAAAATCATTGACAGATTGGCAAAAGGATCGGTATTTGCAGCCCTAATGTATACATATATATATATATATTTTTTTTTTTTTTAGTTAAATGGTGACAGTGATCGTCATCATTATTATTATTACTTGCTGGTTTGCTTTTTTGTAGGGCTGGAGGATATGGACAATGTTTTTGTATCAATATATTTCTTCATTCTGGTCAATCGGATAGAATTACTTTATCAACATAAACATCTAAAACAACTATTTCACCAAGTTTATAAAACTTTTCTAATATACATTTTTTTTAATAAATATCTGCTTTAAAAAAAAAAAGAAAACCAGACATAAAACTAAATAAAACCATAAGCATTAAAAAGTGACAAATGCTGTAATCATGCACTCTAACATATATTGAAACATTGGAAAGTTGTTTAAAAGTTATAACAATTATTGAATAAAATTACAATATATTAAATAGTATTCAGGTCCTATTATTTTCTTCATCAAACTTTACAAAAAAAAAATCTATTTTTTACAAACAAATCACAGACAAGTAAAAACTACCTTGGGGACTAAATATACAATAATAAGTAAACAGACTCAGTTTACTTTATTCAAGTGAATAGAAAACTGCTGGTTGCTTTATTAATTTTACCCCATTTACCATTTTGGTTATTTTGCTCTAAGATTTTGTGGAATAAAACAAACCATCATATATTCCACATGTCTGAATACATAACTTTCAAATCTCCTCACTTTTTTTAAAGCAAAGAATTGATTTTAATGGAAAGGGATAATATAGATAATAATTATTGTCTACCAGCAGGATGTCACGCATGTATTTTGGTTTCTCATATGTCACAGGCCCAAACACGTATCAGGAGCAAAATGGGAAAAAAAATAAATTGTCACAAAAAAGAGGTAAAGCAATGTTCACAACCCTGGTCCTCAGACGCCCCTACCCTAGATGTTTTAGATATGTCTCTGTTCAAGCACACATGATTCAAATGAGACTTTAACAGACTTTGTCGTTTTATACAGAAAGAGTGTATACGAAAAGAAAGGGCTCCTTCTCTGCAATCAAGTGCTACAGATGTCTGCTAATAATCCATTGTTTTCTGGCATGCTGCAAGAGAGAAAGCACCTAAAACATGCAGGACAGGGTCACTGAGGAACAGGGCTGGGAACCACTGCTGTCAAATAATTCATAAGAAGATCAAATATAGAGAAAAAATTATTGAGATTTTGGTAAAAACCCTTTGAAAGCAAACATATATGGAAAAGATTTTGTGTAATACTTGGTCAAAATCTATATAATTCAAAATAATATAACACCTTTTCTTGAACGTTTTATATAATTAGATTTTTTCTAAATTTATCAGATTATATTAATACAACTCCTTAAACAACAAAAACACATTACCTGTCATTTATTAGATGTTCAACAGAAACGTTATATCCAATCTACTCTTTCCATAACAGTTATTTAATCTTAAGGAATATATACTTTTAAAATGACTCTTTGTAAAAGTAAAATTGTTTGAGTGACTGTTTTTGTTAAAATGTTTCAGTTGAATTTCTGCCAACGTTGGCACATAAACGATGTTTTTAGGGGTAGATGTTTTTTTAGAAACTTTAAACACAATTTTTAAAAACCCTATCGTGAAAAGAAAAATGAAGCAAAATGAAATATAAACAAAAAACAAATGTCTAAGTAATCCCATAACTGCAAAACATTATCTTAGCTAAGCTAGACTGTTAGCATGGTTAGCTTTGCTAGCTAATAGCACTACAGAGAATCGAAATAAATCCTGATTTCACTCATTCAAATAAAATCTATTTAAAATAAAGATTTGTCACCTTTAGCTTGATCAGAAGGTCCCCACATTTATTCAGGTTCGGGTTTTTCTTGTTCCACTCAGCTTTAAGAGTCTCGTACAGCCCCGCGGTCTCTTTCAACGCCATGGTGAGTCTGCAAAATGTACGACACCGGCCACTGTAATACGTTAGGGGGCGTTGCCAAGGGCAACGTGGAACTGACGCGTTTATGGAGCGTAAATAGTCTGGCTCGTCTTAAAAGGAGAGTGAGACGGAGAGGGATTATTTAAAACAAGATTAAAAGAAAAAAACACAGGTATGTTTATACATAAAAAAGTAGAACACCAAGATACTTAAAAAAAAATAAAAAGATTAAGCAGAACAACATGACGTAAACATTGTTTTTGGGAAACCTGGGAGGAAGGATTTGTATAAATGTTATTTTCTTCAGTGTATTCAGGATGCAGCAGTCCAGCTCCACCACTTATCTTTGCATTTATAACAAAATCTAATATTTTCCTAGATTTTAGAATTTGTGTAACTCTACAATGTGACAATGTCATCATATATAGCTATAGACTTAATTTAGAGATATTACAGCTATGGATGCTATAACAGACAGAGGCAGAGGTGGGCGGACTAACCACAAATTATACTTAAATAAGAATAGCATTACCTCATCATATTTTTACTCAACTGACAGTAAAAAAGAGAAATTCTCTAAAAGAACTCCTAAAGCTTTATCTTTTTTAAGTTACTGAAGTAAATATAACTGAGTAAATTACTTAAGTAAATTAATAACTAGTACCTAACCACCTCTGGACAGAGGGTGCATCAGTTTAATCCGTTATTTATAACGGGTTATTCTGAGCCACATTCATACTCAGCATAAATGTATATTATTAATGCTTATATTATAGAAATTATAGAAAGGAGACTGTGTCTGTGTTCAGGGAAGCAGTTAAAAAAGCTAAAAAAGAAAAAAATTGAAATGAAAATTTTGAGTTTTCTTTTTTCAGAAAAAACCATAAAAGTTGAATAAGAATGACTAAATAATGGCTTGTTCCAGTATATCATACTGAGCTAGTTAACAACACATTCTGTTCCCTAAGTTATACCATGCTAGTTAGGTCATGTTAAAAAAAAATAAAAAATTCTCTTTCATTTTTGTGTAGAATATACGGTCATTATGGCTTTCCACACATTTAAAAACAATCTTTATCAATCAAGGAGAGCAGAAGCCAGAAGCGCTGGATGATGATGCTGGGTCTTCACTGTTAAGAAGAGGTAATAAAAGATGAAAAACCAAACAGGTTTAAGACAAAATATTTTTTGACTATAAGGTGGGGTATACCCGATACCAGTATCAGGCAGGGCCCTGATCTTGCACTAAAATGGTGTTATCGGTATCGGCGAGTACCAACAAATAGGGCACCGATACCATTTTGAGAGCCAAAAGTTTATCAAACTATTGTCACCCATTCCAGGTAGGCAATAAAAAGTTCTACTGGATTCACTTTGTATTAGTCTTTTTCCTGCTTCACAAAGGTAGGCAGTAGCTTGACAAAGCCATAATGGCAATTATTTTACATCCAAGTAGTATGCAGTTCTTCATATATACACATACACATCAATTTCAAACAGATGGTATCGGTATTGGCCGATACTGCACAGGTATTGGGTATCGGGGCCAAAAAATGGCATCGGCACAACACTACTATATAAGGTAATGGTTTGTAAAAAATTGAAGCAAAAAAACAAAACAAAAACAAAAAAAATGACACAAATATTTAAATATGTAGTTTATATTAAGAGATTTTGTTTATCTATTAGGTAAATATTTCCACATTGTTTGAAAATATTTGAGTTCTGAAAGAAAGCAGGTATAGGTTATGCTATTTTTCTTTATCTTGAATGGTAGAGAAATGTCTGTGTTTGTAATATCTAATGTTTTCTCAGATGTTACTTTACAACCAAGAACTTCTAGTTATTTTGGGGAGGTTTAATGTGATTGTTTAACTCAATTTAGTGTATTAGTGAGGGACATAGCAATTCTACATGATTTTTAAACAGTTTTACTGATACAAATAAAAATAAAAAACCCTGCCACGAATCTTGAAAGACTACGTTATAAAAATTTAACTCTGATTTCCGATTATACATAAATGCAGCTTGACGTGTTGTATAAACATTAGCCTGTAGGTGGCTGTAGTGAGCTATAGAGCTGGCTGCAAACATCCGACGAGGAAGACGACGCAGGCGAACAGTTGATCAAGATGGCGGCATTCGGCACAGACCGATGGCTGAATGATTTACCAAACCACATTATTTTCAAAAAGGTACGAGAGAGGTTGGATGCAGATTTCGGGACAAATGAGAGGGAAAGAGCAAAAAATCTGACTTTTTGTTTGGGTGGAGACTTTTTCCTGTGGGACGACCCTGAAGGTGTGTTTTACACCACCAACCTTCGGCAGTTAAACTCCGCAGAACCCGAAAGCAGCGGGAAGTACCAGACGTTGCAGTGCATCAACCCGCCTCTGTTCCAGGTCCGCCATGTGTTGCTGAGCCCCACGCAGCACCACGTCGCGTTGGTCGGTCTCAGGGGGGTTTCGGTCCTGGAGCTCCCTCAGCGATGGGGGAAGAGGTCAGAGTTCGAGGGGGGGCGGGAGAAGATCAACTGCAAGACCATCCCGGTGGCGGAGCGCTTCTTCACCAGCTCCCCGTCAGTGAAGCTCAGACAGGCGGCTTGGTACCCGAGCGAGACCGATGAACCCCACCTGGTGTTACTCACATCCGACAACACCATCAGATTTTACGGGCTGAAGTCGCCCCACACCCCGGCCAAAGTGCTGCCGGTGTCCCAGTCGGAGGATGAGAGCAGCCTCCACCAGCCGGTGAGCTCCTACGCAGCATCTCTGGGAGAAATAGCCGTCGCCTTTGACTTCGGACCGGTTGCCTCCCCTCCTCGGCAGCTGGCCTCACAGTGCTCCAAAAACCAACCTGTTTATCCTCTCTACATCCTCTATGAGAACGGAGAAACCTACGTGAGCTACAGCAGCCAGGCCAACGGGCTCTCTGTCAGTAAACCAGCTGGACCCCTCCCCATGTATCCTGCTGCAGAGGATAACTACGGCTATGACGCCTGTGCCATCCTGTGCCTGCCCTGCGTCCCAAGCATCCTGGTGATCGCCACAGAGACCGGGACCCTCTATCACTGCATAGTCCTGGAGTCTGAGGAGGAGGAAGAGGCTGGAACGGCGGGGAACTGGATCAGAGGCTCGGATTCGGTTCCGGCTCTATATGTGTTCGAATGCGTTGAGCTGGAACTCACGCTCAAAGTGGCGACAGAAGAAGACGAGCCTCAGGAGTTTGATTTTACCTGTCCCATCAGGCTGCACAGAGACCCCCTGTGTGAGCAGAGGTACCACTGCACCCATGAGGCAGGAGTGCACAGCGTGGGGCTCATTTGGCTCAACAAGCTGCAGAAGTTCATCCAGTCAAACGAGGAGGACAAGGACAGTTTGCAGGAGCTGGCTGCAGAGAAGCGTTGCATTGTGGAGCACATACTCTGCACCAAACCTCTGCTGAGCAGCGAGTCTGCTCCAGTCCGGGGCTTTCTGATCGTGTCCGACCTTTCTCTGGGCGCCACCATGATCTGCATCACCGCTAACTATGAGTGTGTCATGCTGCCTCTGCTGAGCTCCATTCGTCCTCCATCTCCTCCGCTTCTTTGTTCCGATCCAAGTTCCAGCTCTGTCAGCTCACCTCTCCGCGGCCTGGCCAATGACTCCTTCGAGCAGCACATTCGCAGAATCCTGGCCAGAAGCTCCACCAACCCCATTGTGCTCAAGGCTGGTGACAAAGAGGCCGCCCCACCACCAGCAGAGTGCCTGCAGCTCCTCAGCAGAGCCACACAGGTGTTCCGTGAGGAATACATCATGAAACAGGACATGGCCCGGGAAGAGATCCAGAGAAGGGCAAAGCTCCTGACGGGTCAGAAGAGCAAGCAGGTGGAAGAGCTGGCTCTGTGCAGGGAGGAGAAGAAGAGTTTAACAGAGAGCGCCGAAAGGTTGGCAGACAAGTACGAAGACGCCAAGTATCGCCAGGAGGCGCTCATGAACAGGGTGAAAAAAGTGCTGTGCAGCCTGCAGAGCCAACTGCCCATCCTGTCCAACAGCGAGAAGGACATGAAGAAGGAGCTGCAGAGCATCAGCGATCAGCTCAAACACCTGGACAACTGCATCAGACAGGTGAACATGAAGATGGAGTATCAGAAGAAGCAGGTGGACAAGGACACGTCTGCATCCAGGGCCACCGTGCAGCTCAACGCTCAGCAGAAGAAGGTGGTCCAGGATGTCCTCAGAGAGCAGGGACAGCAGATCGGAGACATGATGAAGCAGATCAAGGACATTAAAAACCACTTCAGCTTCTAAACTCATTTACAAACTCTTTATTGGTTTGTTTTAGTCACTGAAATTGTCCTTTCTGTTCATTATTGCAGATTTGTTTAACCAAAATATCAGAGAATGACAACCTCCTTTCCTTAAACTTCATATTTCATTTTTGATATTTAGCATAAGTTCCATGTGTTTTTACTTTAATAACTTTCCTAGAACAGAAAGAGAAGCTAATGCATAAACACTCAAAAATGTCTATTTTTGACTTGATTTGTCAACTTAAAAAAAAAAAAGAAAATAAAATGTCATCTATTGATGTTTTTTTCTGTGCTTAATAAGATGTTCATGCTCTCCAGTTCAGATTTGACCATTTGAAGTACAGAAAACCATTATGAGTAATAACTGTGGAGCAATGGTAGGCCGACGGTTCTCTTTAAACTCTGACTTTTTTTCAGGTATCTTCAAAAACTTTAAAAGACTTAAATTTCATCTTAATTTTTAACCCTGGAAAATACTATAATCTATAAATATTTGCCATACTAGGTCTTAAATTACAAATAGTTGTTTCGTAAAAATGTATATTTGCTCATTAATTGCTCTTCCAATCATTTTAAATTGATCAGTTTAGGAAGTTCTTAAATGGACATGTAAGGTTTTTCATTATGGAGGTTTAGGGAATTAATTAAAAAGGGTTTGAAACCTGGGATTTCTGTTGGTGACTAAAGTTCTTTAGAAAACTTGCTGTGTTTTATCAGAAGGTGTTTATTTTGTGTAATAAAAGTATTGGATTCAATCAATTAAAATCTGATGAAGTGCCTTACCATAACATAAGGCAGTCTACAAGATTCACATGTTAGATTTATAAAACATGCAATTGGCATACTATTTAACATGCTTAAGTTCATATAAAAACTTCAGATTATAAGGAAAAATATTTTTGCTTTATGCAATACATATAGCTTCATATTTAAATTGAATTTAAAAATGTCTTGCATTTTAATTATTGAAAATCCATGTCTTTTTGTCACAATAGGCACACCGTTAACTCTAGCTCAATCACTATTTTTATTTCATTGTGTGGATATTAGTCTTTAAAAACATTTTGTTCTGAGACAAGGTTCCTAATTATAAAACTAAATATTTCAAATCTCCTAAATCAGCAAAATATTACTCCAAGTTCGTATGTCTGCTCTGCCTACACTTTCAACATCTGTTCAATAGTTTTTTTTTTACAAATAAAATGCATAATTTTCTATTTTGACTTAAAATCTTATTTTTCAGCATTTGTTTTTTATCTTTGGTTTTGAGCACTTAGACTTTGCAGAGTTTTATAATTGATAATAAAATGCCTTTTTCTTTAAGTCTTAAGTTTATTGGTTTTCCCTCAATGAAAAAAAAGGTTTGAGAAGCAAAGCTTGACAGGAAAAATATCCTTTAATCAGAGTGTGTGCTCTCCATACGTCCAGTTATCTGTATTTAAACATTATGAAAGGTTAAAACTGCATTATATCAAGAACCTGCCTTTAAGATGCAAGATTTTGATTAAAAATGCAAATTTAGTCAACCTTTCACTCTTACTAACTTATCATCCTGTTGTTGAATAGGGGATTAAGCAAAATGATCACATGCATTTAATTCTGTGTGAAAAGTCTATTTTTGCAATAATAAATTTTATATGTTTCCTGTATGTTTAAGAACAAAATTAGCTCTGTGTAGGTATATTTATAGCATATAAAATAAGTATTGAACTGACCATTTTTCTCAGTAAATATATTTCTAGAGGTGCTATTGACATATTCACCAGATGTCGGTAACTATCCATGTAATCCAATCATACAAAGAAATCAAACCATAGATGTCCAGAAATACAAGTGATGTGCAATAAAGGAAAATACACAGGAAAAAAGTATTTAACATATAATGAAATTTATTGAATACTTTGTACAAAAGCATTTGTTGGAAATGACAGCTTCAAGAGAAAGTAGTCGCACTGCTGGGATTTTGGCCCATTCCTCCACACAAACAGTCTTCAAATGTTGAGGGTTTTGTGGGCCTCTTATATGAACTCTGATCTATCATTTTTTTTCCACAAGGGGCAGGATTGCTTTCTAGCTACTTAGATTTCGACTGGTGTCTTGGCCTTCCATGGCTTCTTGCATGTCAGTTTCTTCACACATTCAGTACATTTCCCTGTGCCATTTCACTTTATTGCACATACTTTCTGGACATCTATGGTTTGATTTCTTTGTATGTGTGAATTGCATGGATTGTTACCAACATCCGGTGAAAATGTCATGTCAACAGCACCTCAAGAAATATATTGAGAAAATGATGGCATGTTCATTACTTATTTCACCTGCTGCATATGAGCAACGGTTAACTATGATGGAGTCCATGTTTAAAACTGCAGTGAGGCCAGATTTGCTTTGAATTATCTTTTATTCCCAAAGAGAGCATGCATCCATTATGGGTTTCCATCAACATAGCCTCACATTAGGGGAACTGCTGCAGCTCAGATGGATTTGTCATTACTATGCTGACACTGCTCAACATGCCCCATGATCACACTGAAGAATTTAGTTACCACCGGTGTAGAGCTTGTTCAAGAGTGGAAGCAAGTGGTTTCGGATGCAACTAATTAGAATAGAAAATTCCTTTATTGTCCCACATGATGAGGTTGAGACCATCCTTTGATAACAGCCATGTGTTTTATCCTTCCATTTTCTGACCCCAAGTGGGGTCGCAAGGGGTGCTGGTGCCGTTAACCAGCTCTCTGCGGGCGAGAGGTGGGATCCACCCTGGACAGGTTGCCAATCCATCGCAGGGCCACACAGAGACAAACAGAAAAAACAACCATTCATGCACACACTCACACCTAAGGAGAACTGAGAGAAGCCAATTAACCTATCTTTTGGACTGGAAAACCCATGCATGATCAGGGAGAACATGCAAACTGGGACAGGAATCAAACCCACAACCTTCTTGCTGCAAGGCAGCAGTGCTTCCCATTGCGCCACTCAGAAAAATGTAAATGGTAAACAGAACCCTAATGAAAAAATATTTTCAATAACTACCCTAGGATAAAGATTGGCTGGTTTTCAGCAGTGCCAGAATTTAAGCAACTTATAACTAATATTTGTGATGATTTTATCATTTTCTTTATATTCTTAAGACAGCGACGGTTAATTAGATGAATATTTTCATTAAAAATATGGAAATTAATCATAAGAATAATTTTCTTACTAAATACACCTTAACACCTGATTGGTTAACCTGCCATCTCATCTGGAAAAGGAAGGTTAAAGTGCAGAGATAGTCTCACCCTCTGACTGTGATATATGAGTCTGACAATTAAAAAAAAAACATTCCTTTCATAAAACACATGGAGACAGCAAAAGTATGCCTCAGTCACAGGTTTATAATATGAAATAAAAATCCCAATATTTAAATGAAATTAGCATCATAAATAATTTTTTTTAGATTCATTTAAAATTAATGAGGAAAAACTACAGAAATAACAGCTATTTATATGAAGTTTTCTTTTAAAAACAATAAAAATGATAAAACAGCTCTTATTATAATATATGATGATTAAATAACCTTTGTTTTAACATATAATTTATTTAAGGCAACTATTGTTTTTTTCTGAATAAAACATTTTAATATTTGTTAAGTTGAGTTACTTTTGGGTTTCCATAAAGCATCTGACTATAAACCCTGTGTGGTTTAAAGGACTCAGCCGAAGACGAAGAGTTTTTCCAGTATCAGCTTCTCACAAAACGTTGAGGTTATGATTTCCCAGCGTTAAGGTGTTATGCGACTACAAAAAAGATCATGGGGAAATCAATCAAATAAAAAATAAATAAATAAAATACTGATGAATTCTAAGCATGACTATAAAATAATCAGGAGATGATATCCAGCAAAGTCAGAGAGTTCTGTAGGAATGAAGAAGAAGCATTGCTGAAAAAGAGCCATTAAAAGATGAAGGTTAATTTTTTTCACAGTAACCTCCAAACATGCAAAACAAATCTGTTGATTTGAAAGTACTTTTTTCTGATTGTACAGCTGGAAAACAGTAAACCTTCTGCCACCAGATGTCCCTCCTTCTCCACAGCAGATGATCAGAGCTTTAAGTCTACCTCAGCTTCTCCCAGTGAGGAATCCCCCACATGTTCTCCTCCCTGTGACGTAGCAGAGGAGACCCCGGTTTTGTTGAGTAAGGTCTGCTGTTGGGGGATCTCTCATGTGGTGGGGGTCATCTGCTGGAATCTGCTTCTGTCCCTCAGTTTCTCCCTCTGTAACTCTGGCTGAGCTGTAATGTTTTTCTAAGCAGCGAACATGTTCAAATGATTTATGACTCATTTCAGCCTAAGTTTTGGAACGGGCAAGTATTGTTTAAACTACCATGGTGATTTTTTTTTTCATTCTGCTTTCTAAACATGCTGTGGCTTTAAAGTACACAAACAAGCAGAGTTTATGACCATATAAGGTTTTTTTTTGTGTTATTGTTGGTGGATTTTCGTTTGTTTTACACATTACCTCAGATTTTCCTTTTTAAAAGCACAGTAGAGGGTGCGGTGTTCTGCAGAACTTCCACACAGAACCGTCAAATAGGGAAATCTTTCATAAAGGTACAGTGTTAAGCTACTGGGGAAGGTTAGCAGACCCTAGGAAAGGAGATATTAATAACCCTCAGGACCAGCCCACCACATTCTTCACATGTGAGTCACTGTAAGCCAGAGAGCACGGAGGAAAGGACTGTATCGCCTGTTTCTCATTTGTGTTTCTTTCCACGCAGGAGTGGAACGAGGAGGCGTCGAGGCCTCCCCGTCATTAGGAAACCTCAGAAAACCTCGTGGCTTTCCACGGGATCCTCGCCTATTGCTCATACTTCCAATGTTTATGCCAAATAAGCTTTAAAAAAATAAGAAAAATTGAACAAGCGAGAATGTTAGATGAGAGGGAGCAAATGGAGTATGTAAGAGGGAGTAAAGCCTTCAGATGGCAGGAGTTAGAGGGGAGAGAGGCCTGGAAAATGGTGGTATGGGGACTTGGCAGCGGAGGGAGTGAGTCACTGTTTATCTGGCCTGTCACCAGGAGACAGAGAGAGCTTGATAGAAAAATAAAAAAAATCCTCTCCGCTTGGTTTCTTGCTCTTTAGCCCATATTATCCACTGTTTCTTGCATAAGTATTCAAGCTCACTTGCCCTTTATAAAATCACAGAAAGACCTTCAAACAGGATTTAAAGCAAGGAGCCTTTTGGTGCAAAACAGCTGCACAGCCCAAAATGTAAATCACACTCTTGCAATTTCTATTTAAATAAAAAAGATTAGTGTTGGTCTTTTGCGAAAAAAAGAAAGAAAATCAAGAATAAACATCAAGGTTTGTATTTGTACTATTAAAACAAACAAAAGGCTCAATATGTGTGAATACTTTAACTCAAGGAAGAAAAAAACGTCACAGTTGCAGAACTTTAATTGTTTGCATTAATAGTTACCATACAAAGATTTTGTGGAGCAGTGTACAGTAGTCAGTTATTTATCAGTCTTTCAGTCTTTATCTCAGCATGTAATGTTCTTATATGCAACTTGCTCCTGCACATTAACATGAAAAGCAACAGTTAAGATAAAAAAAATACATACATTTTGCATAAAACCATGGAAGGGATCAAAACGGTATTAGACATGAGCTGCTTCTTTGTATTGAAAATACTATAAACAATCCAGTGAGCTAAGCTGGTCAGGCCTGAGAAGACGTGAAGAAAAAGAGATGTAAAGAAAAAATTACTTTCAACTAAAATTCCTACTACAGAAGGTGCCCTCTACATGTAAGGATTATATTAACATTTCTTTTCTGATAAGAGCCCACTCATCTGTCATAACAGACGCATTTTTAAAAGCTCATCATAAAAAAAAGAAATTTTCCAAGCATAAGAGAGAAAGCTCCATAACTTGGTCGCTTGTAGGAAGTCTGGGTAACATCAAGCTTAAATAAAATCACTTCAGCTGGGAAACAGTACAGTCAATTTAAGGGAAATTATACAGTACTGTGCAAAAGTTTTAGACACCAATTTATTTATATTTTGCTACCAAGCAGTCGTTTTTAAAAAATGGTCGGACTAAGATTCAGGGTGTTCCCCACCAGGTCTCTGAACCTGTCATATAGATCCAAACCACGCCAGAATCAAAATAAAATAAAAACATATTTTAAGATGCCGTTTCTCTGCTTTAATATCTTTTTTTAGTTAGTTCTTGCACTCTTTCCTTTTATTCCAGTTTTTTTTTTTTCTTGCACAAACGATGCAGT